TTAAAAATTAAAAATTTTAAATTATTATTTATTTATTTATTTATTTATTTTTACAAATATTTAAATATCATTTACTTCATAAATGTATTTATTGGTATCAACTGTAATTATATTTGTTTATTTATATAAATACATGTATCTAATTTAAAAGAAAAATCACCATATAAATTAACAGCAAAAATGACATAAAACTAAGCACAAATCAAAAGTTTTTACACCCTTATTATGTGTGAATAAGTAACATATTTATTATATAAATTCATAATACATTTATATTTATTTTTTTAAAATTTATTTATATTAGGAAATTTATTTATATTTAATATTTATAATTATTTATTTAAAAATTTGTTTGAATATTATGTACAGTATGTATGTATTTATATGTTTATTGTATTATATTAAAATGCATTTATATTTATACATATATATCTTAGATGTTATTTTTTTATTATCAAAAAAAACCAGTAGATTACAAAAGATTGTCAGTAGAAGACAAAGATTAATTAATTGTCAAAGTTAATCAAAATTTGCCATTTAAAGAAGAATTTATTTATTTATTTATACTCTTACTAGGTGTGAATAAATACTGTATTTGCTTTCTATGTTTATAAAATATTGTTTTTATTTAAAAATATTTATTCAAATATTATTTTATAAATGTACTTGATTTATAGCCTGAATGCACTGTAAGTCGCTTTGGATAAAAGCGTCTGCTAAATGCATAAATTATCAAATTAAATTAAATTAATAATTACATTCATATATACTCATTTCAAAACAGTCCATTAAAAAGGTTTAACAACAACAAAAAACATCCTTATTATTATGCTTCATGCATCACAACTTCACAAAATTCTTCACTGCACACAAATGCTGCAATTGTTCTCATTCAAGTTTGTCCTAGACCAAAGTTTGAACTTTTACTGCATTACAGCTCAAATTTGTGAGTGTGGTGCAGTGATGCTTAAATTGTAAAGAATGATGAGGGGGTGGGGGGGTCATCAAACATCAAAGAGCTTCCTCCCTACAACACAACAAAAACATTCAAAGGAGAATGAGAGAAGCTGTCAAGATTACAGAGCCGTGAGGTGTGTGAAGACTGAACGGGCTTGTTTCTGAAAGGGCAACTTTATTTCAGGATAAGTGTGATGACGAGTCGGAGCCATAGGGGGGTCTGTCAGACACTCAAATCCCTGTGGAGAGACGTGTGTGTTTGTGTGGCCCCTGGGGACACACGTATAAGTGCCTCTGAGACATCAAAGCCGTGTGATGCATCAGAAGTGAATAGTCACAGCGCTGACAGCACACACACACACACACACACACACACACACACACACACACAATCAATTTAAAGTCTTTCGCAGAACTGCTTCGACCTAAATAGCACCTTTCCATTATGGCGTTCTCGCTAAATAACTCTTCATTACTCATTGGGGTCTGTGAGGTGTTTTGTTTAATGCTTTCATTCAGCAAGGACACATTACATTGGTCAAAAGTGTCAGTAAAGACATTTAAAATGTTACAAAAGATTTCTGTTTCAAATAAATTCTGGTATTTTGAACTTTCTGTTCATTAAAAAGTGAAAAAAAAAAAGAAAAAAAAAATGTATCATGGTTTCCACAAAAAAAAAGCACAAAATCACAGGAATAAATTACATTTTAAAATAGAAAACAGTTATTTTAAATTGTAATAATATTTGACAATATTACTGTTTTACTGAATTTTTGAACATGGTATTTTCCTGTTGTTATATTTTTCCCTCGTGGACCTTGACAATTTTTTGACCTTGATATTTACTCTTTTTTTTATTCTATAAGCATTTAACCTTACAAAACCAGACTATGGCCTATCATAAATTATTGTAATTATATAAATTACCGATGGTTTCTAAATATAATATAGACATGATTTGTAACATACCAAACAGGTAGCATACATAAAATATGGCACTTCAACAAAAACAAAAAACAAACAAAAAAATAGACCACACTGTCCATCAGAAAGTCAAACTTTTAAATTTATGCCGTTCACATTTGTTCTTGTAGTAATAAATATCTACAACTACATCTTGCAACATTTTATTTCAGACCACATACAAGTAGGATCTTGTATTGGTTTGAAAAATATGTTTTAAGCATCAAAGCAAGACAACATACCATAATGATGCTAAAAAATAGTTCTGGGATGAGAAAGACCACCATGAATATATATGAATGGGACAAAAAGAAAAATAATTGTATGCCCCATAAACATGCACAAATGCATCAACCTTACTGCAGGAGATATTTCATGAAGCCAGTTATAACTGTGTGGAGATATTTGTATTGTTCAGCCAAAGGTTGAGAAACTAAATGTATTTTTAGAGACCAAATGAAATCAGATATTCACAGTAAGCTGTTCAAAGTGTCCTGTTATGTGTTTCTGTTCCAGTGCACTCAGTCCATACAAACTATGCAGGCTTTATCAATCATTTATCAGGTAAAGTGCAGGCTGTCCGAAATGCAGGAGAGAGATATGTGCATGATGTCATAAGAGGCCAGAAACCCACAGGCTAACTTCAATCACAATGCTCTGCTTCTACTGCAGAAATCATTATAATACTCATAACTGCACATGAACTCACTTACTGTTCAACATGTTAAACGTGCTGCAACTTGTCAATCACACCAAACCCTCTGCAGGTTTTGACGTCACAATTTTACCTGAATCCATTTCGCATTCTAGTCAAATCTCTATAGTTATAAAATGGCTTTGAAGCATGAAATTATACATCTGCTTGCACAAAGGAAAAACGTTTCTATTTGCTGCTCCTTTTCAATGAAAAAGTCATTTTCTGGTTAACGTGAACAGCCTAATTACAGGGAGAGAGCCAGGATTCAAATTGTAGATGGTGGTTCAGACTTTGTTTATTAGTGTAAATTCAATAATCATGTTATTCATTTCAGCACTGTTTAGAGTGCACTGTGTATTAAAACATTTCAGTGAACAAAGCATGACAGGAAGTATAAGGCTTTATCAAATGTATCCTCATTTAGTCCGACTACACATTAAAAGCACTTTGCTGTCAAAAGTACATACTTCATAAGGATACAACAAGAAAATGTGCAGTCAAAAACTATCAAAAAAAAGAAAAAAAGGATTGTGCATGATTTTTCAGTGAATATCTGTATATAGGTTTGGGGAAAACATTATATAAATAGTAAATATTCACAGAAAAAAACATGCATACAGTGGGTACGGAAAGTATTCAGACCCCCTTAAATTTTTCACTCTTTGTTATATTGCAGCCATTTTCTAAAATCATTTAAGTTAATTTTTTTTCCTCATTAATGTACACACAGCACCCCATATTGACAGAAAAACACAGAATTGTTGACATTTTTGCAAATTTATTAAAAAAGAAAAACTGAAAAATGCTCAGTATTTAGTAGAAGCACCCTTTTGATCTAATACAGCCATGAGTCTTATTGGGAAAGATGCAACAAGTTTTTCACACATGGATTTGGGGATCCTCTGCCATTCCTCCTTGCAGATCCTCTCCAGTTCTGTCAGGTTGGATGGTAAACGTTGGTGGAAAGCCATTTTTAGGTCTCTCCAGAGATGCTCAATTGGGTTT